TCATACTACTTTTCGTCAGATTTCTTATTAATGCTTCTTTTGTGATTCGCTTTCTTGGTTTTTCCGTGGGAAAAAGCTACATTCCGTCCATATTTTCATGGGATTCATTCTGCGTTTCGTAATATTAACTATCTTTATGGTGTGTTTTCTTGCTTTTCCTTGTAAAAAGCTGCATTCCCTCTATGTTTTCATATTATTCATACGCTCACATGATGGGTGTCAACAAGTTCTTGGGCTTTGAAGCGCGCTCTGCACGGCTTGAAAAAAAGCGGGAGGGTTGGGGGGGGCGCAGCCCCAGCCCCCCCCCTCACCCCATTTGCAAACGCAATGTGATGGGCTTCAACAGGCTTTGAAGCACGCTTTGCACGGCTTAAAACAGCTTCGCACGCTTTGCACTGCTTAGAAAGCGGGGGGGGTTGGGGGGGGCGCAGTGCCCCCCCATTTGCAAACACCCTGCTCACATGATGGGTGTCAACAAGTTTCTTGGGCTTTGAAGCACGCTCTGCACGGCTTTAAACAAAAGCGGGGGGGTTGGGGGGGGGGGGGCAGCTCCCCCCCATTTGCAAACACAATGCTCACACGATGTTTTTTTCAACTAGTTTCTTGGGCTTTGAAGCACGCTTGGCACGGCTTAAAAGAACGGGGAGGGGTTGGGGGGCGCAGCCCCCCCCCCCGCCCCACTTGCAAACACCCTGCTCACACGATGGGCGTCAACAAGTTTCTTGGGCTTTGAGGCACGCTCTGCGCGGCCAAAAAAAAAGCGCGGGGGTTGGCGCAGCCCCCCCCGGCAAACACAATGCTCACACGATGTTTTTTTTTTCTCAACTAGTTTCTTGGGCTTTGAAGCACGCTTGGTACGGCCTAAAAGAAGCGGGGGGGTTGGGGGGGGGCGCAGCCCCCCCCCACTTGCAAACACCCTGCTCACATGATGGGCGTCAACAAGTTTCTTGGGCTTTGAAGCGCGCTCTCACGGCTAACAAAGCGGGGGAAATTGGGGGGAGGGGGTGCGCAGTCCCCACACTAATCTCCATTTTGTCCCCGATGTTTATTTCTATTCGTTCCTCCGTCAACTAGTTTCTTGGGCTTTGAAGCACGCTTGGTACGGCTTAAAAGAAGCGGGGGGGGTTGGCCCCCCCCCACTTGCAAACACCCTGCTCACATGATGGGTGTCAACAAGTTTCTTGGGCTTTGAAGCACGCTCTGCACGGCTTAAAAACAAGATGCGGGGGGTTGGCGGCCCCAGCCCCCCCCCCCCCATTTGCAAACGCAATGTGATGGGCTTCAACAGGCTTTGAAGCACGCTTTGCACGGCTTCAAACAGCTTCGCACGCTTTGCACTGCTTAGAAAGCGGGGGGGGTTGGGGGGGGTGGGACGCAAGTGCGCTCCCGGCCCCAAACCACGCGCCCCCCCCCCCGACCAACACCCCCGCGAAATCCCCCCCCACCCATATTTGCAAACACCCTGCTCACATGATGGGTGTGTCAACAAGTTTCTTGGTCTTTGAGTCACGCTCTGCGCGGCTTTAAACCAACGCGTGGGGGGGGGGGGGGGGGGGGCAGCTCCCCCCCATTTGCAAACACAATGCTCACGCGATGTTTTTTCAACTAGTTTCTTGAGCTTTGAAGCACGCTTGGCACGGCTTAAAAGAACGGGGAGGGGTTGGGGGGCGCAGCCCCCCCCCCGCCCCACTTGCAAACACCCTGCTCACACGATGGGCGTCAACAAGTTTCTTGGGCTTTGAGGCACGCTCTGCGCGGCCAAAAAAAAAGCGCGGGGGTTGGGGGGGGGGGCGCAGCCCCCCCCCATTTGCAAACACATTGCTCACACGATGTTTTTTTTTTCAACTAGTTTCTTGGGCTTTGAAGCAAGCTTGGTACGGCTTAAAAGAAGCGGCGGGGACTCAATAATCTGGCTGTTGCCCGGTCGCACGCCTCCGAAACCTAAACCCCCTAGACATCACGGTCTTGCGCCAGAAATGATGCAATAGTCTGGCTGTCGTCAGGTCCTTGCTCATGACTCTGCGTTCTGACCTCACCTACTCGCAGCTCCCGTGAGCATGCTTCCCAAACCTAAACCTAAACCCTAGACATCATGGTCTTGCCTCAATAATGACGCAATAATCTGGCATGCCTTCCGAACCCTAAACCCCCTAGACATCACGGTCTTGTGTCAGAAACGATGCCATAGTCTGGCTGTCGTCAGGTCCTTGCTCATGACTCTGCGGTCTGAGCTCACCTACTCGCAGCTCCCGTGAGCATGCTTCCCAAATCCTAATAAACCTAAACCCTAGACATCATGGTCTTGCCTCAGCAATGACGCAATAATCTGGCTGTTGCCCGGTCGCATGCCTTCCGAGCCCTAAACCCCCTAGACATCACGGTCTTGCGTCAGAAATGATGCAAGAGTCTGGCTGTCGTCAGGTCCTTGCTCATGACCCTGCGTTCTGACCTCACCTACTCGCAGCTAACCTAAACCCTAGACATCATGGTCTTGCCTCAG